AAAAAAAAATATATAAATATATATATATATATATATGTGTGTGTGTGTGTGTGTGTGTATAAATATATATATATACATTTTCTAAATATACTACATTTTACAAAAATATTTTCACCCCATTTATTTGAGGTTTATTAATTCTTTCCAAACAGAGCTATTCAAATCTGTTAGAATATCACAATATCACAGAAAAACTATAAAAATATAGCAATATCAGTTTTTCCAGTATCATGCAGCCCTAGTGAGCGGCATGCAATTAAACTTGAAAATGATGCTTTTTTTAATGTGCAAAAATGCAATTTGAAAAGTTTGATCAACTAATCAGTCGAACTCGTGGTAGATGGCACTTCTGCTTCATTTGTCACACTGGAAATGCAAGGTGAAGTCAAATGTGCATTGCATTGTGGGATACATGTTTTGACAGAATTTCACGAACTGCACACAGTACGCATGCTCTGAACTAGTATGAGTACTACAGCCTGAGTGTGACGGCGTCTCCCTCTGCTGTCTCTGTGCTGTAGTACACTTCATACGCCAGTAAAGACAGACAGGAGCCCTGCAGTGAAATGCCTGATGGGGACAGTATGCACAAACAAACAATGCATCATCTGGTTGTACACTGCACACTTTAACAAGTGTATTTGGTGACTCAGGTATTTCATACAGATATTTGTGCACTGTGTAGTGTGCATACTGTACACTGCAGCAGTAGTACGAGTAATATGACCGCTGTGCAATTTAGTTTAGTTCTGAAATTATTCACTTCACCATTCAGTGTTATTTTAGTATGAAGATACTGCTGTAGTTTTGCTTTTTACCCTATTTTCATCGTCGCTTTAAAGTTTTAGTCATTTTGATGAGTGTTTCTCTCACTTTCACTAGCCTCAGAGTTTTTTTTATTTAATATTATTCAGTGTTATTTTAATATACTTTTATTAAAATTGGGGAAAAGTTTTTTTGTTTTAATTTTCCATTTTCATTTTAGTTAGAGTTTGTTTTTTTGTTATTTTTATTAAGCACTGTTCAGTGTTATTTTAGTATCGGGAAACTAGAATAGTTTTTATTTTTAGATTTTCCATTTTAATTTTAATATATAATAATAATAATAATAATTTAAATAAAAATTATTATTTTACAGTACAATACAATTATTATTATTATAGTCATATTGATATATAATCACAAAATATTTGGCCAAATTGTGCAGCTCTACAAACCTGGAACTTTATAACCCAGAGCTTTATAACATTATAATTTTCAATTTTATAATTTCAGAAAATGCCCCAAACAGCCCCAAGTAGGCTAAAAGATACTCTATGCAAGTAAGTGAACGCAAACACTTATGTCTATGTAAGCTACTGTATGCATTTGTTGTTTTCTGAAATGTTGTGCTAAAGGGGGCATTAGCATGAGCCGTCTTCAGTGGTCATTTTTCTCTTTAAGGACATCTGCTGCCAACAGACTGAAGAGACTCTTTAAAAGCAAGCTGGTTCAAATGTTGACATTTATAGCTGAAATAATACATAATATTAAAGTTTTAGTCATTTCATTGTATGTTTTTGTCATTTTTACTAGCTTTTGTTCAATGTTATTTTAGTATTGGGATAATATTATAATTTT